CAAAATAGTACACATAATGCCCAGGTAAGTGTAAATCACACCCAAACACTTTGAATATGGCCACCTTTGCATAAGGTTGTATAATGAACTATATGCAGAATGATAAGGCACACAATCTTTATTATGATCACTTTGGCCAAAGCCCGCATCTTGCTTCCTTTATTTCACCTGAACCACCCAAAATAGTACACATAATGCCCAGGTAAGTGTAAATCACACCCAAACCCTTTGAATATGGCCACCTTTGCATAAGGTTGTATAATGAACTATATGCAGATTCATAAGGCGCACAATGTTTATTATGGACACGTTGGCCAAAGCCCACATCTTTTTCTCTTTATTGCACCTGAACCACTCAAAAAAGTACACATAATTCCCAGTGAAGTGTAAATCACAGCCAAACACTTTGAATATGGGAACTCTTGCATAAAGTAGTATAATGAACTATATGTAGTTTTACACGGTATCTTTATTCCACCCTGCTGAAAAGCAATGCAGGAAAGGCTTATAAAGGCTTATATCCTTGTTAGTACTAAGTATGATTGACATAGTACTGTCACCTAACCGTAAGACCTAATCATAAGGCCCTTAAGCTATCTTGTACATAACGCGTCGAGACTCGTCACTCGACACACGCTCACGCGTGTAGCCCTAACCAAAACCAAATGCACATAACTAACCCTAATGTCCCCTAACAACCGCGTTTCAATCAAACACGCTTATATTATCCAAGACGCGTGGAATTTCCCACATACATTCCACTTTTTCCCTCGCCTTTGTTCAGTTTCAATCAAACACGCTTATATTATCCAAGACGCATGGAATTTGACTTGTTCTCTCCCCACATTCCACTATTTCCCTCGCCTTCTTTCATCCCCATCAGAAACCTCGTCAACCCACTTCTCACCAAACGAACTAATTGCTATCTTGGACGTTGAAATCGATTGTCCTTCAGTATGACCTTCATGAGTTCTTTCTCCAAAAGCTCACTGTCACTTACTGAACTTTTGGTCTTTGTTTAGTTCACATCACGATTTATATCCAATACGAGATACGAATTCCAACACCGACATTCCCTTGGGTAGGTCTCGCCCCTTATCCATGATTTATCTTGCCTTTTCTATCTACGAGACAGCTGACCTTTTTTTTTCTAGATTCGATTCTCAGCCTGGTTGTGCTTGTTCCATTTCAATTCAATCGAAGGCAGTCAACGATCCGACTTAGTCATTTCCGTTGAACAGCAGAAGTCGCCGATTGTCCTGTCGTGTTGTTGGACTCTGAGCTACGAACCAAGGCAGGGCATACGGCATTCTGTCTGTGAGACTAAGACGACTGGCGATATCATCAAACCAGCCAAGTAATAGGAGTGTCTACGAACCACCTTGGTCATTACCGTTGAACAGCAGAAGTCGCCGATTGTCCTGTCGTGTTGTTGGACTCTGAGCTACGAACCAAGGCAGGGCATACGGCATTCTGTCTGTGAGACTAATACGACTGTCGAGTTCATCAAACCAGCTAAGCGATAGGATTACCAACCAGAACCACCTCACATCATGTAAGTGATTCGCACACTCTAATGAACCTATATCGTATTGATCAATCAAAACCAGAGATTGACATACTTTGTTGGTATTGCCAGCTCTTATGGGTCGTCAACAAAACCGAGCAGCGCAACGAGCCGCGGGAGTGAAACCGTTGAACTTCAAGTCAAAGAGTTCCCCATCTCACATCAAATACCAGTTGCGGCGGGAGAAGAAAGGCAGCATAGGACGACCTTACTATCGATTTCACCGCAAACGTACTGCTTTGAAGTGCCAACTGGCTCAAGAACTAGGTCTCCCTTTGAACACCAAGTTCATTTTCAGATATGGATTGGATGATCGAACAAATTCTGAAGTTTTGAAAGACATAGAGATTTATCATGGGACCGTTGTAGTCATCAACAAGGCAGATTTATCCTTGGTTATTGCGATTCAATGCAACCGATTTCGAACTATGGATGACAGTTTGCAAAAACAATTCGACCACACCATCTCTACCTGCTTTCTTCATGCTCGGGCGCGCAACGAATGCAAGATCAATGGCTCTCACAAAAAGAAAAAAGGTGAAAAGGTAGATGATGAATATGAATATGACCATGAACAAGTATGCGGTTGGATGGGATGTTGTGGTTGGCGTGGTGGAAGTGACCCAGGAAAATCTTTGGGTCCGTCTTCAAATAACTTCATCATTATGTCACTTTCATCAAATCTGATATGATTATTTGACTTCTAGGTGCTTATGCAATTAGTGCTTTTACAGCAGCCAGTGTTGACCGGATGCTGACTGATAAAGAGCGCATGGAAAGGTTTCACAAGATTCGCGATTTTTTAGCTGGCCAATTTTCCAGTCTATCTCTTTATGTTTTCAAGACAAATTTGGCGATTGGACTCATTACTCAGGTACCAGGATTTGACCATTTGGAGTGGCAGGACACTCCAAATGGTCAAGTTTTCGCATCGAACTTGGTTGTCAGCTGCGATGGGTTTGCCAATCGCATCCACATCGACAAAGACCATACTCGGTACGCTTTTGGTCTATTCGGACTTATCATGCATTCGACTGGCCTTCCTTGCGATCAAGAGACGGCCCTCAAACTTGGATCAGTTCGGGGCTTATACTTTGTGGTCGAAAAGTTTGGTATTAAGATTGCCTTGACACGTTGCAATGGAATATATGAAATCTTATGGGATTCAAAAGTAAGTGCATGTTGATTGTAGTAACGATGATGATCTCAAAGCTGATAGTAGAACGCTCTGCTGTAGATCCCTCATTACACAACAACTTCAGAATCATTTGATTCCGAAGGTTGCAAGCTCAAGGCCAAAGATTGTAAGGTGACGCATTTTGGCTCATCTTGTCAAATATCAGAAAGCCTGGTGAAGAGGATTCAACTACTACATGAAGAGAAGGAGAAGATGAGTGCCACCGAGTGGGAGAAGTTTAAAACTGAGCGAGTAAAGACTTATGAGGATCAGAATAAGGTCAAAATGGACCGTCACAAGATCAAACAGGCTCTGCGTAAAGAGTGCGCTAGAATGAAGAGGGCTGCAAAGGTGGAGGAATTGATCCAAATGTTACCGAAATGATTCTATACCATGTTAAATTTCTATTCTTGATTTTCTTACCTTGTCTTTTTTGCAAACTTTGTCAGATAGATATCTAAATGAGGTCTGATGTGGTGAATCGATCTCTTCACCCTGTTAGTCTAATGGAATGAAATGGCTTATCAATATTGTTCACTTTTGAAGAACTTGAGGGCAAGTTTCCAAATGAGTACTATGAGTAAAAATCCCGTGCGATTACACCTTCATGGGCTTGTAAACATTGTGAGTAACGACTGACCACTTTGCCCAACCAAGAGGGCAAAGTGAAGGGGTGCATCATTACACATGAGCTGTGGGAAAAGCTTCACACTTTGGGCATTGTGAATCCCACCTGTGGGAACGAAATCCATGGAGGGGGAATGGGGTTCACCTTTGGAAATTGATTTCACACCTATGGGGAATGGGATTCCTGCTCGTGGGAATACAAATGAGGGAATCGTCAATTCCCACATGAGGGAATTTTCGATTCACACAGGTGGGAGCAAGTTTCACCCATGTGGGAACAGCATTCACACTCACCCGTAGTTCCCTCGGGTGGGAATCAAAGATTCCCCCGGGTGTGAATGCTGTTCCCACATGGGTGAAACTTGCTCCCACCTGTGGGAATTTGTTTCCCACCTGTGTGAACCTTGCTCTCACCTGTGGGAATAACGTTCTCACCTGTGGGAATAACGTTCCCACCTGTGGGAGTTTGTTCAAGGGGAAATAAGCTCCCACATGTGGGAGCAATATTCCCACATGGTGAAGGTAGAACTCAGACCTTCACAAACATATTCCCACCTGGTGAATGCGAGCTTCACACCAGGTAAAATGCTATCAAAGTAATCACGGGAAGTGGGAATTTGAATTTCACACAGGTGAAAATCCAATTTACAAAGGTGGGCAGATTGAAGCGGTCAAAGGACAACAATCATTTTGTGAAGGCTGGGTTAGTTGAGACTAACGTTGTCACATGTGTAGTTGTAGTCTTTGTCCAAGACAAGGTAAATGGAGGGTACAAACCTCTTTGGAGCTTACATCATTGACTAGCTAGCACGGATATTTACACTTAGAACTACTTACACTTAGAACTAATGATTTTACAAAGTTTATGTATAACATTGATTTGGCAATAGTAGCAATCTATGTATCCGATGATTCTGTTTCACTATCTGAACTATCTGATGTGACTGAAACTGATTTTGCACATGGAGTGGGATTTTCTTGGCGAAATTGTTCGGCTATCCACTCTCTTTGCCATTTTGAAAAACAGAAAACATCAATGTTCTGGGTATATAAGCTGGCCCAGTTGTTGGCGATAGGAAGATTCAAATATTTCCATTCAGGATGCACGAAAGGTATTGGTGTTTTGTCGGTTCGCAAGATATCGAGGTGTATGAAGTGTTTCTTGTTGATGAAAGACATGTAGATAGGTGGAATATCGGGATTAAGGGGTGAAAAACAAGGGAAGATCACGGTAGACATAGCATCGGAAGGGTTGTAGTAGATGACCGGTCGATTGTAAGTATTTGCAATGATAAAACCACCACAGGGCATCGGATACCATTCCTTAGGAGTTGTAGTGGATGCCCTACAGTCCAAAATATAAGTGATACGAGTGATGTCAAACTGATCACCTGACATTTTTGGTAAGTGTTCCTCGTACCAGTGGTACTTTGAATGGACGTGTTCGGAAAGCTCTAGTCGGACTGTCTCTGCTTCATCTTCTGTTCGTCCGAGAGAAAGTGCAACAGCTGACAATGCACATAGGCCATTACTGCGCACATTAGTGGCAGACTTGATAAACGGAAATATATATCGAGGGACTTTCTTGAGGAAGGGCCATTGCTAGCGTCAAAAAGTAATTTCGTCAGTTTAGTGACAATTTGAGCTTAGACATAAATTGACTACCTGAAGGACTGTTGCCCGAATTTCCTCTTCCTCTTTCAATTCTTCTGGGGACATATGTTTGAGGAACTGATCAACAAAATGGAATAAAAAAGTGAGGGGGATAGATTTTCTAAAATGCATGATATGGTGACTTACATTTGGTTTTTGAACACGCCTGCTCTTTTGCGCAGTATCGAGAATAAGCGTAGAGGATCCAGTTACCAGTCCTGTCGCTGAGGGTGTTATTTCGGGAGTGAGTGTTGCCGAGACTGGGTTGGTGCAACTTTCGTCAATATGCAACTAAGTGTCATGACATGTGTCAGTTTATTTACTTTTGGAAGTGGAATGATTGAGACGAGATGCTACCTTTTGAAGTTGAGCTTTGTCCTTTTGGGTTTCGGCAGCTTTGCGCCGTGCCAACACTCTTGTTGGTTGTCGGGGGCCATTGGATTCGAACTTACGCTTGCGAGATTTCACCCTTGGTTCGATGGTATTAATGATGGGGCTAAGGACCGTATTTTGATTGTCCTGAGATGGTGGATCTAGTTGTGGTGGATCTAGTTGTCTCTTGGAGTCGATCGAAATGTGTGGTTTGTTGTTTGATGGATCTATGAAGATTGGTCAGTTAGATATGTTCAAATAATGTGTTGGAGAGGCAACCCTCACCATTTTCGGCCGTAGTCAGTTCCGGGTTTAATACTAATTCTAGAGCCTCAGTCGGGAGGATGGATGTGTCAGTTATGGTGTTTGATGTGGGCTCTTTATCTGAGATCAGTGCTTGTTTCGTGCCGTTTGATGAAGCTGTTTCTGAGGTAAATGGATCTGGATTTAGATGGTATCGTTCTTGCATTTTGCTTTGATGTACTTCTTGCTTTGATCCGGAATTGACAGCTGGTTCTTGCTTCTTTTTTCTTGGAGTGAGTGAAGTTATGATTAAAAGTTCTTCTGCTTGATGTGATGTACTGGAACAATCGGATTGAGGAGGAGAATGAGTTCGGGTTGGGAGTTCTTCATTAATATTGACAACTTTGAGAGTGGGTTGAGCTGGCTGGGGTGGTGAGAGTGGGCTAAGTTGTTTCTCGTTTTGCATGTGATTTCGCAGTACTTGAGTTTGTTGTATCTGCAAACTTAAATCTTGCTGGGTGGAATGCGGAGATTGAACTGTGTCAGGGGGATCAATGGTAGGCTGGAAGACTGGTTGTTCTTCAGTCGGTCGTGTGGTATGGTCTTCTGAGTTTGATTTCAAGATACTACTGGAAGTTCCTGCTTGATCAATGTCCGATTTGTTTGAAACCGATTCATTTATAATTGAATTGCCAGATATGGATTGAGTGATGGGATTGATATTGTTGGACTGTGTAATAGACAAAGGTTCGCCTTCTGAATCGTTATGTGAATTGGTGTTCGTGTTGGGATTTGATTCTGGGTTTGGTTGTTGACTTGTTTGTTCTGGATTTGTAGTTTTTGAAGTGATTGATGGTTTTGATGGTTTTGATGTTTTGGGTTTGAGGTGTTTAGTGGAATGATTGTTTTCAAGCAATGTACCTGAATCGCACAACACATATTGAACGACTTCACACTCATGTAGGAATCGTTTTAGGAGGCGGGCTCGGGTATCAGAAGGAAGACGATCCATTCGGCTGAGTAGAGCGTCGTATTGAGTCAATGGATGAGTCAGTTGCGGTTGCGATGATGGTTGAGAGGAATGGGAGGGTTGATGTTGAGGTTTGTCAGATTTAGAAACCTCTTCCTCAACCTCAACTGGTTGTTGACGACTCTTCGGTGGTTGTCTGACGACTGGCGGTTTCGAATGTGGAGGATGATCATGTGTACCATGAATGATCTCGACTCGCCATTCGTGAGTGTTTGGAGGACGGCGTGCAGACACCTTGTACGGGCAGGTTTTGGCGGCAGATGGCAGAGAAGCGGTGGATGGATTGGTCAATGCCTTGGTCTTGTGTCCGTGTGGCCCTAAACTACATTTGTATTTCATGTGGTTCTTGCGTGTGTCACCTATGGAGATCTCAAATCCGTTATGTGCGGCATGAGTGAATATGTAGGTTTCGATCAATGCAAGATTAGGATAAGTTGTATCGGTGGAAGGTGGAGGTATGGGGTTGGGGTAATTGAATGGGTTTGAGTTATTGATTATTGTTGATTCGTTGAGGTGGCTCATGATTGAGGAGTATGGATATTCGAAGTTGAGGTGTGAAGAATGGCTGGAAGTGTAGTGGGAAGGATTTTTTGGCGATGGTTTTGTTGGAAAAAACAATTGGGTGGGTGGTGGGAATATATGTATGTAGGGTTGTGTGAACCTGTAATCTCTGTTGGGTGAATGGGTCATGTGCATTTGAGCGTGACCACTGTGTGAATTTGGTATGTAGCAGGTTGGGACTCGCTGGGTGAGGATGGGGGAAATGCTGACTTGTCTGAATTTCAATAGCAAGTCAGCTATCCCAGACGTCTGGAAGGTCTGTGCAGCAAGCTACGGTACGACACCGTATGCTTTTACATAGATGTCTTGGTATTTCATCGTGTGATCTGTAACACACAGGTGCATTTGGTGTATCAAACATTTTTAATTTTTCCTTCGTGAATTGTTTTTGAAGGTTCAATATGTAATGAGCTTGATTAACAGTAACCTTATGGTTCTTAACACTTGAGATGCTGAGAGATAAAAAATGAGAGAGCGGTTTATCTGATGAAATTTCAAATCTGTCTTTGATTAGTCGACAAAAATCATCTATTTCTTCATCTAATCCTGTTACTGCTATGTCATCTACGTGAGTAAGTAGTAAACATTTGATGTTATCTTCACTATCCTTCTTGTAATAAATTGAAGGATCATGTTTTGATCGAGTAAATCCAATAGATAATAGAAATTGATGAAGTTTGATATTCCATTGTCTTGGAGATTGTTTCAAACCATACAATGATCTAAGAATTTTGTAAACCCAATCCGGATGTTCTTGATCAACAAAGCCTTCAGCTTGTTCCATATATATTTCTTCATCAAGATCACCATTCAAAAACACAGTTTTGATGTCTACTCCTCTTCCTTTCCAACCCTTTTTTGCCATTAACGTCAAAAATAAACGTATAGACTCTTGTCGACTGGTTGGAGAGAACACTTCAGAAAAATCGATTCCTTTAATTTGAGAGAATCCTAAAGCTACTAATCTAGCTTTGAGTTTATCAATGGACATGTCGACATTTTGTTTTGTCTTGAATATCCATTTTGACCGTATGATTTTTCTACGAGCAGGGCGAGGAACCAATTTCCATGTTTCCTTACCGATCAAAGAACTCATCTCAGCTTCAGCGGCTATCTTCCAAAGATCCCAGTTAGCCGACCTCTTTGCTTGTTTATAAGTTGCAGGTTCTTTTTCTGATTCGATATATGCAGATCGAACATATTCTCCATAACGAACAGGTTGTCTTCTAGCACGTTCTGGACGAGAATATGGAAGAGGAGTTGTAGGACAAATGTTATCTGATAGTCGATCATTGATAACTTCAGGTGATTTACATTCATCACTATCAAGAGTTGGCCACGGAAGTAATTTTTCTTCTGTTGGCGATAAAAGTGACTGGGCTTTTAAGCCAGGAAACACTTTGTCGAGGAATACTAAAGAAGTAGCTTTCAAAGCACACTTCTTTTCTGCATCCCAAACTATAGCCCCCTCGTTATTAATTAAATACGAAAGGAAAATAGCAGGTCGAGCTCTAGGTTTGAGCTTTGAATTTGGTTTTATGACGTGATACCATACTTGACATCCAAATGCATGGAAGGTATGTTCTTGACGTTCACGAGTACCCAGTAAAGAAATCGGAGTTTGAAACTTGTCGTTCGTTCTTGTCGGCATATTATTCAGCGTCTCAGTTGCATATTCTAATGCGTCAGCCCAAAACATGTCGGGCAACTTCGCCTCTATTAAGCAACATCTTATCTTTTCTTTTATTGTCCTATTCCATCTTTCAGATACTCCATTCAACTGAGGGGTGTCCGGTGGTCCAGTTGTCTGAAGAATCCCTTTCTCAGCACAAAAGTCAGAAAACCTGAATTTATATACTCAGTTTCATTATCAGATCTCAATTCTGCAATTACTCCTCCAACTTTCGATGTCATCTCATTAAAATATTGCTTGAATTTTGATAAGACCTCATCTTTAGATTTCAAAGGATAAATTTTGGTAAATTTTGTATAATCATCGATAAACGTAACAAAATATTTATATCCTTTTTGAGATACAACAGAATAAGAAGATACATCGGAATGAATAACATTTAATGGATTTTTAGACCTCCAAGCTGCTCGACTGGACATGTTCCTGCGGCGCATTTTGCCTTGGATACATATACTACATGTTTGAAGCTTTCTTAACTCAGTTTCATCTACATTAATCTTTAGCAAAGAAAGTTTTCTTTTTAATGCAGCATAACCGGGGTGGTTGAATCGTAAATGCCAGAGATGAACATCAGAAATCGAAGCTTTTGATGTTGAGTCGAGATTTTGTTGACGTACCTCCTGATCAAGATAATAAAGATTTCCTCGTCTACGACCAGTACCAATAACATCTCCACTTATCTTGCATTCTTTCACGAAAGATACTCCTGTTGAATTGAAAACAGTGCTAACATTCTTGTCGGCTAGTTTCGAAACCGAAAGAAGTGGCTCAGATAAGGATGGAACGTAAAGAGATTTGATATTGTCAAAATTATGAAACGGTAAAGATGTCATTCCTTTTGATGAGGCTTTGACATTTGAACCATCCGCCAACATGATAGTCGTATCATCAGCTTTCTTGTTACTGATGGAGTCAGATAACGGAGTCATCATTTGAGATGTGCCTGAATCGATAAGCCAGCTGTTTGTTTTTACCGAACCACATTTCACAATAGAAGCCGATGATATTTCTGAATTGATATTTATTGAAACGTCAGAATCGGAAGAGACTTTCGAAGCTGATGCAGCAGCTACTTTCGCTTTAGCACGTCTGACTTGATTTTTCGTTGGTTTGACTCTAGGACGATCAAGTTCCGCTTTCTCAGCCTTCAAAACCTTGTATTTTTCGATCAATGATTTCAAAATTCTACAGTCCTCCATGACATGATTACTTTTACCACAATGAGAGCATATAATTTCACTTGATGCTTGATTTTTCGCTGCAGCAATTATTTCAACATGATCCGATGATATCGCACGTCTTGTTGCTTCTTCACGTAACACTTTTAAGATCGTAGTCGAAGTGACTTGATCACGTTGCAACAAAGGATGCAACACTGGTTGCCAGTCGGGAGTTAATGACAAGCTGACCGATGTAGCGAAGATAGTATCGGCAGTGAGAGGATTCTCGGGTGTAACAAGAGCTTTAAAGTGTTGGTAGTCGGCTGACATACTGTCCAAATGAGTGGTAATCGATGAATCCCCCATTTTTGCAGTTACCAACTTCTTCAACCAAAACATTATAGATCCGGAGGAAGCGTCTTGATGCGCTTCACGCAAAGCCTTCCATTGATTATACGGATCATCAGGATGGGGAGAAAGAAACTCGATGTTGGCAGGATCTACATATCGTAGAATAAAAGCCAAAACTTTACATCTTGCTTGTTCGTCAGAAGATGGTAGCGGAAACGGTTGATTATCTCGCAGTACATAACCAAAGGAAGAGCCTTTGATAACAGTACCCATAACAAATTGCCAATAATGGTAATTCGACAATCACCTGGTGGTTCGAGTGGTCGACAT